GGGACTGATGGTTATGTTATGTAAGGTTGTAGCTTATGCTTCTAGACAGCTAAGAAAGCACGAGAAGAATTACCCGACACATAATTTAGAGTTAGCCACGATGATTCATGCGCTAAAGATGTTGAGGCACTACTTGTATGGCATTCATGTTGATATTTATACGGATCATAAGAGCCTTCAATATATCTTCAAGCAAAAGGAATTGAATTTGCGTCAAATGAGATGGTTGGATCTACTTAAAGACTATGACATTGATATTTTATACCATCCGAAAAAGGCGAACGTAGTAGCCGACACCCTCAGCCGTAGATCTATGGGTAGCCTGTCATATTTACAGCCAGAGAAGAGGGGAATAGCCCATGAGATTCATCAGCTAGCCAGTCTTGGAGTTTGATTATTGGATTTAGGTGATACCGGAATTACTATTCAGGACATGGCAACATCCTCTTTAGTAACTGAAGTAAAGGTTCGCCAATACAAGGATCCTATGTTAGCTCATTATAAGGATACAACCCCTCAGAAGGAGAAGACACCATTTGAGATTACAAAAGATGGGTCCTCAAATATCGAGGACGATTATGTATCCCTAATGTTGCAGGGTTGCGTCGGCAGGTCATGGGAGAAACTCACTATTTTCTTTATTCCATTCATCCAGGAGCAACAAAGATGTATCATAATATCAGGAAAATATATTGGTGGGACGGAATGAAAAGGGTATAGCAGAGTTCGTTGCTCAGTGCCCTAACTGTCATCAGGTCAAAATTGAGCATAAAAAACTCGGTGGATTATTGCAGGCTATGAAGATTCCGACTTGGAAGTGGGAAGTAATCAATATGTATTTCATCGTAGGCTTACCTCGTACCCAGCATAAGTTCGATTCTATATGGGTAATTGTTAATAGACTTGCAAAATCAGCCTATTTTCTGCCCGTTAGGACTATATATTCCGTAGAGGATTATGCAAGGCTTTACATTAAGGAGATAGTACGACTTCATGGTGTCCCTATATCTATTATCTCGAATAGAGGAGCTCAGTTTACAACTAATTTCTAGAGGTCCTTCCAAAATTGATTGGGGACTCAGGTAAGTCTTAGTACAATATTTCATCCCCAGGCAGACGGACAGGCTGAGCGCACTATTAAGACACTTGAGGATATGTTACAGACTTGTGTGATAGACTTCAAGTGTAGCTGGGATGATCATCTGCTGCTTATTAAGTTCGCGTATAATAATAGCTATCATTCCAGTATTCAGATGGCTCCATACGAGGCTCTTTACAGACGAAAGTGTAGGTCGCCTATAGGGTGGTTAGATGTTGGGGAAACTACGTTAGTAGGACCAGAATTGGTACAACAAACAATCGATAAAATTAAGCTTATACAAGAAAGACAATTAGCAGCTCAAAGGCATCAAAAGTCTTATGCGGATAATCGACGGCGAGGCTTAGAGTTTCAGGTTGACGATTGGGTATTCCTAAAGGTATCACCAATGAAAGGCGTTATGAGGTTCAGAAAGAAAGGAAAACTTAGCCCTCGATATATCGCACCATATAAGATCATACGCAAGGTAGGGCAGGTAACCTATGAGTTAGACTTGCCTTCTGACTTGGAATCTGTACATCCAGTCTTTCATGTGTCTATGCTCTGTAAATGTATCGGAGATCCTTCTAGAGTTGTGTCAGTTAACGACGTTCAGGTCACATAACAGCTATCATATGAGGAAACTCCCATTACTATATTAAACATGCATGTTCAGAGATTGAGGACTAAAGACGTAGCTTCGGTGAAAGTACTTTGGAGAAACAATTATGTGGAAGAAATGACTTAGGAAACCGAAGAAGACATGAAGTCTAGATATCCTCACTTATTTCCTCTCCCAGAGAAGGGTCCGACTGAGACATCACAACCTTAAGGTACGTGTATGGATTCTTGTATTAGTTATTATCATTGGTCGTGTGAAGCCATTGTCGTGAGTGATAATTGTTGCAATATCTGCATTGAATTATTGAGTTCTCTACATGAAGGATTGATAGTAGTACCATTACAAAGGCGACTCTGCCAAAATTTATATGGATCCCGAGAAGTTAAATATTCGAGGACGAATGTTTCTAGGGGGGAAGGATGTTACATCTCGCGATTTCGTACGTTAAAGTTTCGTCTTCAGTTAATCGACGTAGACCCGGGGATGAGATTATTTGGAGGTTATAAGCATTTATGTTATTCCTAACAAGCGATAAATAAGTGTCATGAAGGTTAAAGGGTAAACGAATCAAAGAAAGTGAGTTTCGTTGAAGGTGGTCGATTTGGGATAAAATACAGTCCAAGCTACAATACTCAGCATTTATGGACTAATGCCACACAAGGTACCCCATGACCACGATAGTAGGGTACGTAAAGTGTATTGAAAGTGAGTAGTATTTTAAGTAATTTGAGATAATTCTTAATTATGTAGATTATTGGTTAATGGGAGAATTAATAAGTTAATTAAAATTAGTGGGTAATTAATTAATAACCTTGGGATAAGACTTAACCCCTCCCCAACGTGGCAGCACCCCCTTCCCATTTTATGACTCTTGAAAAAGATTTAAATGTGGCACGCTTGAAAAGGTTAGGTAACACTAAGAATGAAATGTGGGGCCCACCTAAAAGGTAAGGATAACATTCCTAGTCCAAGATCATTTTCTAATCTCTTAAGAAAGAGTTTCAGCCAAGACTTCCTTGCATAGGAATGTTATTGTTAAGCTCTTAAAAGAGAATTTCAGCCAAGATTATCTTTGCATAGCAACGTTAATACTCCTCTCTTAAGAAAGAGTTTCAGCAAACATTATTGTGCATAAGCAACGTTATTACTCACGTCTTCAGAAGAAAGTTTCAACAGAGATGATTTTACAACAGCAACGTTATTGCTTCGAACATTTTATAGGAATTGTTCCCTATTTCGATCTCGCTATTACGTGTTTCATCGCGATTGGCGTGTGTTAGAAGGATTGTCAAGAGAATCGGTTCAGGTATGTTAAGGCTATCCCTTCTTTCTTTTTGGCATGATCCAAATAATACAAATGAAACGAGCAAAATACGCAACTTTCATAAATGACTCTATTCATAGAAATACTAGGGGTGTCTATATTCTTGATTTCCCGTGTGAATTATTAGTATATCTTTTGTTCATGGGTCTCAGAAAAATACGTATTTGATAAAGTTTATCCGAAAGGCATATTGATTTTTATGACATTCCGAGAAATCTTATTAACGTATTTCTTATGCATTTCATACATTTATACATATACATTGACCCATGACCAGATGACGTTATATACGCGTATATTATATGTATATGGGATATGGGAAAAGGTTACGGCGTTATATATGCACCACCACCTGATCAGCTGGTATATGTTGATGATTTTGCCCGCAGTGGCCGAGATGATATGATGGGATACCCTCAGAGGCTTGATGATGTTATGTACACCTATACCCATGCATAACACGACATTTATACGTACGTGCATGACATTATAAATGTTTCAGGATTTACAAAGTGATTTATACTTACAGGCGAAATTTCTTATTCCATGTTTCATCTATGTCTGTTATGTACTGATTTTTATGCCTTACATACTCGGTACATTATTCGTACTGAAGCCCTATTTACTGCGGCCTGCGTTCATGCTCGCAGGTGCAGGTAGACAAGCTGACGACCCCCCTTCTTAGGATCCTTGATCAGCGAGAGTTGGCGTGCTCCACTTGATCCCGAGCTGCTTTTGATTTTGGTACGATATGCATGTATACATATATGGGTATGACAGGGCCCAGTCCCATCCTTGTACAGTTGTATATTCTATTAGAGGTCTATAGACAGAAATGTATAGTTGGGTAGTATGTGGCCTTGTCGGCTTCCAGTTTTGGATATGTAGTTGTCTAAAGCAGCCTTGTCGGCTCGCCCTACGTATTTCACACGTGTATGTATATATATGTCTTTTGAACAGGTTTCCTCACGTATGCTACTCTCGTAGTTCAGCAGATGTTATTCATGTTTATATCTTAGACGTATGCTTAAGGATGTTCGACAGGTAGGACTCGGGCACCGGTCGCGACCCATTGGTTTGGGTCGTGACAGAGATAGTCACTCAACTATCCTAAATTATCTACTAAAGTCATCTTTCTTTCGTTTGTAACACCAAAGCCACTTAACTATGCCAATATCACTCAACTAGATTTCTCAAACTTTTGACCATCAAATACCTATTTTACCCTCTAAATTATCAACTTTTATCTTCTTTTTTCTTTTTTAGCTTTTTAATATTATAATTTTTTTCTCAGTTTAATTTATATTATGGACTAAACTTAGAATAAATAAATTTTATTTATAAATAAGAAAAAATAAAAATAGTATTTAAGCATATATAACTTTGGAACAATAAAATTAGTAGAAAGTTAATTTGACCATTTTGTTCATAATAATAATTTTGATATTAACAACAAAAACTCAAAAATCTACTTAAACAATTGAGAATGAAAGAAAATAAAATTTTAAAATATATATTCCATGCATTTACTATAGAAAATAATTATATAAAATAAAGCTACTTTTATAATATACATTATATATTCTTCATAATTACGCTCAATTATATTATTATTCCGACATTATATATGCTAGAAAAATAATATTTTAATTATTTTTAAATAAAATTTATTTGTTATATAGGCAAGTTCATAATGTTTATTAAAAAGAGAAAAAATTATAATATTTAAAAAGTTTTTTTTAAAAAAAAGAAAGAAGATAAAAGTTCATAATTTAGAGGGTAAAATAAGTATTCGACAATCAAAAGTTTGAGAAATTTGGTTGAATGACCTTCTGAGTACTATAGGTATAGTTAAATGTCTTTTCTGTTACAAATGAAAGAAAAATAACTTTACAAGATAATTTCGAATAGTTTAGTGATCATTTAAGTAATGCACTCGCCATACGAATACGAATCAATTAGTGACACCATACCAAGCATGACCACCCCAACTTTTGCCAAGTAGAGATGTGTATGTGCAAGTTTGAATGGCTATTTAGTAATCTAACTTAAATTATTTGATTTAATTAGTGGAAATGAAGTATTTTGTCTGATTCTTTCTCCTCGTATGAGTACTTGGTACTCCAGGTATGCTTTGAGCTCTTTGGGTAAAGGCATGAAATGAAAGCCTTGCAAAGATGCAAGATTTTCAGTTCGTATTTTTATGCTCAAAGGAGAAATCTATCCTCAGTCGCAGATGCTACACTTCAGAAAGCAGCTGAGGAAGAAGAATTCGACAGCGTTTGGAAATGCAAAGATACAAATATTCTACCCTTTTTGCACCGCACAGTACAAGAATGCGCAAAGGAAAGGGCTGCAATGAATGGAAAATGTGTGCATTCCCAGATCATAAAGCTTGGATATGAAGCAGATACATTGACAACAAACATGCTCATAAATATGTACTCAAAATGCGGCCTTGTTGATTATGCTCGTAAAATGTTCGACGAAATGCCTCATAGAACTCTTGTTTCTTGGAACACCTTGATGGGTTCGTATATCCAGAAAAAAGATGGAGAAGAAGTTTTCCATCTTTTCGTTCAAATGCAAAGGGAAGGGACGCAGTTTAGTGGGTTCACAGTTTCAGGTGTTCTTTGTGCTTGTGCTGCCAAATTTGCTGTTTTCGAAAGCAAACAACTGCATGCTTTTGCACTGAAGGTATCACTGGAATCAAATGTTTTTGTTTCTACTGCTTTGCTTGATGTTTATGCTAAATGCGGGTTGATGAATGATGCTTTTCGGGTTTTTGATTCCATGCCGGAGAGGAATGATGTTACTTGGAGTTCAATGGTTGCTGGGTATGTCCAAAATGAGCTATATGAGGAGGCTATAATGTTTTTTCACAGGCTACAAAAATCGAGGGTCGAGCATAACCAGTTTACGCTTTCTTCTATTATATCTGCTTGTGCTGCATTGGCTGCTTTGTTAGAAGGGAACGAGGTGCATGCTATAGTCCGGAAAACTGGTTTTGGTGCCAATCTTTACGTGGCTTCCTCTCTTGTAGACTTATATGCAAGATGTGGATGTATTGATGAAGCCTATATTGTGTTTTCAAACGCTGAGGTGAAGAATGCTGTAATATGGAATTCAATGATTTCTGGCTTTGCTAGAAATGCGCGACCTTTAGAGGCTATGAAATTGTTTGAGAAAATGCAGTTAGCGGGATTCTACCCGACTGAAGTGACTTATGTCTCGGTTCTATCTGCTTGTGGCCATATGGGTTTGGTTGACAAGGGTCGGATATATTTTGACAAGATGAAGAAAGAGCATAACTTATCTCCCAATGTATATCATTATTCATGTATGGTTGACATTCTTGGTAGAAAAGGCCTGGTTGAAGAAGCTAAGGATTTGATAGAAAATATGCCCTTTGCTGCAACACCTTCCATGTGGGGTTCTGTCTTGGCATCTTGCAGGGTCCATGGAAATGTTGAGGTGGCTGAAATTGCTGCTAAACATCTGTTTGAGCTCGAGCCTAATAATGCTGGGAACCACGTCTTGCTTTCAAATATATATGCTTCCAAGAGAAGGTGGGGCGATGTTGCATCAACAAGAAAGCTTCTTAAAGACAGTGAAGCGAAGAAAGAAAGAGGCAAGAGTTGGATACAGATAAAAGACAAGGTTCACACATTCATGGTCGGGGAGAGAAATCATCCTAGCATTATAGAGGTTTATTCAAGATTGGATGAGTTGTTGGTAGGTATGGAGAAATTAGGTTACAAAGGTAAAACAGAGCATGACCTGCATGATGTGGAAGAGAGCAGAAAACATGAGCTTCTAAGGCATCATAGTGAGAAGCTTGCTTTTACATTTGGGTTGACGTGTTTGCCTTCAAATGCTCCTATAAGAATTATGAAGAACCTCAGGATTTGTGGGGACTGTCATTCGTTTATGAAGTTTGCTTCAAAAGTAACAGGGAGGGAAATAATTGTCAGAGATGTTAATCGTTTTCATCATTTTGCTAATGGATCATGTTCATGTGGAGAATTTTGGTGAAAGATGTGACTGCTTAGGATTTAAGATCCTTTCTCTGAACCAAATGTTTGGTTCAGAATGGTGGAAAAACTAGTTTAAAATCTGGTTTTCAGATATGAACATGTATGAGCATCAGAGGTATTATATCGCATTAGGAGTATCTGCTATCTCAACATAATAGTTTTACCATAAGAAGCTGGTGAAAATCCGTTTTTCCTCTGAGCATTTGATGTGATCACAAACTATGTAAACAAGCTGGACTCTGGGCAATGCCTTTCCCAAAACGATGATGAGCAAAGCCCATCAGGTACACCTTATAACACCACCAGGTCAGATTCTTATGGCATCCAGCCAGGGGTAAGAAGGCACCTGCACACCTCATTCCTCTTGTCAACAATGATGTGTGGTGAGTGTCCTTTTTCTTATAAGTTTACAATTCTCTACTTTTCTCTTCTTTGAGAGAATCTTTTTCATTCTTAGATTATCCAAATTGTAAAATATAGCTACACCTTTTTTGTTTTCTTTTCCGAATAACTTATCAAGTATTTGAGTTGTTTTGTCTTAGCACAACCTTTATTTTCAGTAAGAGCACTTTCTTGGAACCTTTTCCTATAAATGGGAAAAAGGAAAAAACCCATCATCAGCTTAAAGTAGCTTATTAAGGAGCTGAGGAATATAGAGAACAATTCCAGCATGTGTTTGTTGGACTTTATGGAAAGAAAGGAACCAAAGATATTCTTAACCAAATATATTTTTTTTTATAAGGAAAATATGTAGCAGGTTGATATGGTGAAGTTAGGTTACAAAGGTATAACAGAACACGACCTGCATGATGTGGAAGAGAGCTGAAAACATGAACAACTGAAGAATTTAGATTTTTGAGGAACCAAAGATATTTTTGGCCAAACTGCTGCTGCTCATACTCTAGAATTTAGATTTTTAAGTTTGCTGACGCTCTAGTGTAACTTAAAGAATTATATGAGGAGGGGAGCATGTTAGACTTTATCAGCTCATTTATAATTTATATGGTGGATTTTTGTATTAAGAGGATTCCCCTCTTTTTACGTATAGGGGACTCAACAACCAGCAGTAAATACTTGCTTATTCTTATCATTAGTATTTTTGATTATCAAAAACTAAACTTTTCCTTAAAAGATAGCTAAAGTTTGACAGAAGCAACTTCAGTTATTGTTACTATTTTGCGTTAGTCAGAAAAAGAACTGGTCGGTCCAATGTGTAAGACCACCTGCATTATACAGCTTGGTAAAGTGGAAGGCTGGAATTACCTTCTGAGGTTCTAGACGGTGAGACAAACGCATAACCAACACTTAATTTCTTTACGGATCTGTGTGTTCCAAAAGCATAACTTTGTAAAGTCAAACATACTTTTCATTCTCAAGATGCTGCATTTTGTTTGGTTAAGTTAAAATTCATAACAAATTCTTAACTTTCTCATGTCAGTTGTATGTAGTGAGATTGCATGTTGATTGATATCTTCTTGCAAAAGGCAATTACTATTCCTTGGTGTTGCATTGTGTGTAGAAGTATTTGCAATATCTGTTAGTAGCCAATGACAGATATATTCAAAGAAATTAGGAATGAAACAAAACCAACAACAACAACATACCCAGTATAGGAATGAAACAAAACCAAAAGTAAAAAATGGGGAGAATGACCCCGGTGTGGTGCAGAGTAGGTTGTTTGGACCCTTAACTTTTAAACAAAGCAAATGCATGAACTTACGAACCATAGTATTTAAATCTGGTTTTTCTTTGAGAGTGTCTGGCATTACGGAAGTCATTTCCTATGGAAATTGTTTTCCGGGAAAATATGGAAAATAATTTTTGTGAAAAATGTTTTGTGTGTTTGGTTGGTAAGTAGAAAATGTTTTCCAAATGCAAATATATCTTAAAGATTAATCATATTATAGAAAATCGGAGAGTGTTCTGATGTAATTTTTTGATACTTAAGATTAATAATAATGTTCAAATGTTAGTTGAAACAAGTTATATGGATTAAAGTCTAGACAGGTGTAAGGAAAATGATTTCTGCCTCTAAGTGAGGGAAGTAATTTTCCCCCATTTGATGGAAGTATCGACCATACACTAGAAAATGACTTTCTTATGGATGTTATTTTTCTGAAAAATAACTTCCTGTCATACCAATTCCCTCGGGATGCCCCTAACATCCGTCATACCAAACATATCTTGAGTGTGTGTCCAATAAACCCTAGGCCCAATTTTTAAGGTGATTCAGTAGGAGAGCTTTCTCTTTTATTATTTCCTACAATATAAATGGGCTATAGAACCTCCCTTGTTCTTCTAAAACAAAATGTGAAAGAATTATGGTAGTCACGAGACACAAAAGGATCATATAAAATACATGCAAAGTATTTATAGTATTGGTATAAACACCGTGTGAATAATTTTTTTTTTCTGAGACACACTAAACACACCCGCTCATACAATCATAATAGAATTATCTGCCATAACTATACACACTCTTTGTGGAAGTTAATAAACATGTATTAACAAAAAGAAATACAAAAAAGAAGTTAAAAAAACATGTGATATTTTCAACTGCACATCATATATATCAATCAATTCTCTACACATCATATGATCAGTAAATTTTGAAATCGTTATGCTTCGTTCTTACTCCTATATTGAATTTTTTTATTAAAAAAAAAAATTCCTCTATGTATTTTCTTCCGGAACTATGTTTTTACAAGCAAAAAATATTAACTGTAAATATTATATTATTATCAGATCATAAAATACAAAAATCCATTTATTCTTTTTTCAAGTTTTATGACATACGAGCGGCCCAAAAGAATAGGCCCAAAAAGATAGCAATTTTTAGCATCCCATGCTGTCCAAGTGAAACTTAAAACCCTAATTCCCTTCAGCTTCCCCTCTTATATTTTTTCCGCTGCAAGCATAACATTGCTCACTTGCCGCACTCGAGTCGTCTCCGCTCCAAATCTTCAAGTAAGTTCTCTACTCCTAGTGTATAGGAATTTTATACATCTTTCTATATCGTTTGATCACAATTTTGAATTCTTAGTGAATATATTCTAGTTACATGCTTCATCGGTTTGTGTATCTAATTATTTCAGTTTATATGTATTTTTTTTAAATCTTATTTAGGTTAAAAGACTGTTTGATATTTAATTTTAGAAAGTGAGAATGTTTGGTTGTGTTGTGTGTTCATAGTATTCTATGTGTGCCTGTTTCTGATTTTGTTTTAGGCTAATACTGAAGGCTTGGATGTGTAATATTATTAAACGAATACGTTTAGGAATTTTTAGTTTAGTAGATTTTTAATTTGAAGACGATATGAGGAGGTTAGTTTATTAGCTATTGTCTTCTTATATGGTAGCACTCAACATGCTATTATTGAGATTGTTAAATGATGCTTGTAGTATTAAAACTTGAGCTTAGAACAGTTAAAAGAACAGGTGTTTGTGATGCAAATAGATCTGGATTATGCATGCGCATTGTGAATATGTTGGGCACTGATACGGAAAGGTGCATAAACTCTGGAGCTAATGCACTGGATCTTGTTTATTAAGGATTTGCTTCAACTTGAAAATTTTATGTAGATCTGTAAAGGGAAATATGTTGTGTCTTGTAAAGGGAAATTCTCCTTTTGATCTCTTTAATTAAAGTGTAGCATTATAAAAGCTGCTTAAGAATATCAACAAGTTTATCAAGGATGTGTAAAACCCACTAATAGGAGTTTTTTGGGTTTTGACTTTTTCATTAGATCTTTTCTTGATTTTTATTGGTTTTTATATAAATACACCCACCCATGTTTGTTCGTTGATGATAATTTCTTGCTGTATATGCTTCATAGGTAAAGATTTGTTCACCTGTGTAGGGACAAGTGAGAGATTTAGAGAACTTCTACTGTTAAAGAAATCTTATTTGCTTTAAAAGACAATAATTTACAAGCAAAGAAGTATTGGAATTATTTAGGCCCGAATAGAAAGCGAACAGTCACAAACTATTCATTTAGTTGATGCCAACTTTGTTTGCAACTGAGGCGTAGTTGATTGATTGATATGCTTGACTCTTATTTGGTATATTGAGATTAATTGATTCACAATGATCTGATACAGTATCCTGATTTTTATGAACTGTGTTTAAGTAGATTTTCTTATTTCATATATTTAACAGGGTTCGTAGCAAGAAGAATCAGCAAGGATGGGTCGTGTACGCACCAAGACCGTGAAGAAGTCTTCTAGACAGGTAATTGAGAGGTACTACTCAAAGATGACCTTGGATTTCCACACCAACAAAAAGATCTTGGAGGAAGTTGCCATAATTCCTTCAAAGCGTCTCCGCAACAAGATTGCTGGGTTCTCCACCCACCTTATGAAGCGCATTCAGAAGGGGCCTGTTAGAGGCATCTCCCTGAAATTGCAAGAGGAGGAGCGTGAGAGACGTATGGACTTTGTTCCTGATGAGTCTGCCATTAAGACTGATTTGATTGAGGTCGACAAGGAGACCCTTGACATGCTTTCAGCTCTTGGCATGTCTGACCTTCCCGGTGTTGTCAAGCAGGCTGCAGAACCACAGGTAGTGGCAGCTCTCCCAACCTATGGTCGTGGTGCTGGTGGTTTTGGCGGCAGGAAATACTAAGAACAGATTATAAGACCTCATGAACAATTCTAAGCTGAACCTTTTTGGTAGGTTTCAATCTTTAAAAAACGCTGAAACTTTTGGTAGATTACATGTGTTAGATCTCCCTATTCTGTTCAAGGATTATTAGAAGCCAACCTCATTTTGTTTATGTTTTGAGAGATGATAAACTCACTGTTCCTGAATCTTGGTTCTAAATGCATGTGATTTATTTTCCTTAATTACATTTGCTGCTGCAGTACATAGTCCAATGTCATTCTTATATTTAGTTGATCCACTATTATGTTTGTGTTTCAGAAGTGGATTTGCCTCTTGTTTCATCCACAGGATAAAGATTAAAAGTGCTTCCATATGGATTATTGATTGTTTCCTGTGAATCTCCATTGGGTTTCTTCAGAATCCAGTTTTAAGCATCCTGTTTAGTACCTATGTTGTTAATGTAATGATATTGTATTATGTATTATCCCACCAACTTAGTTATTGCTCGTGCCCTCATCCAAGTCATCTCCTAAATCCTAATACTGAAAGGTTTTTTCTTTATACGATGAAAATATTGTGTAAATTATTGAATTATCTCTACGAAAACGTAAGAAAAGAAAGAAGAAAAACAAAGAAATCTGCTTAATCTTTGCACCCGTGGCTGTTCTTGCTTGGTTCCCATTCGTCTCCGAGTTCCAAACAAGGCTACTTTTCAATCAGGACTTCAGCAGAGGACCAGAGTCGGATCTTGGTGCACAATTTAGCATGCGTGCTGCCATATAATTTTAGACCAATATTAGAAAATATATACATAAAATACTTAAGTTGACGGAGAAACCATGAGTTCATGTGCCTTGCTAAATAACCTATAAATCCGCCCCGGGATTCAACGCGTTCTTGCTGGTGGGAAGAAGCACAAGTGAGTTTAGTTATAGTCACACAATAAATATACTGTATCTTTGGCAAAGATGAAGCATGACTTCTACAGCAGTGCTCAAAATTCCACATCCAGTTGATGTGTATATAGCAGAAGTAAAATGACGCAAGAACAAACAGGTTTTAATGGTACTTTGAAATGGATTACTGATTGACAAGTTGTCCTTGTGTCATTGGATTTCTTCAGCGTCAGTGTTAATCATCCTGTTTAGTCGTACCCTATGTTACTAATCCAATGATATAATATCCCAGCCTAGTTATTGCTCGTGCAATCGTCCACGCCATCTTCTATTACTGAAAGGGTTCTTAATGCAATGAAAATTTTGTGCAAATTTATGGAATTGTCACTATGAGAGCATAAGAAAAGAAGAAAGAAGAAAATAGATTAGAACTTGGAGGTTCTGTTTAAAATTATGAAAAAAAATAAGACGAATGTGGTCGGAATTAAACAGTCCTTGAGCTAGTGTAGTTAAAAATAAAATAAAATAATAATAATAATAATAATAATAATCAAGGACCAGAGAGAGAATTTTATTTGAATCACTGTATTTGATAGTAATAAAAGCAGGAAGAAAAAAGAGGTTGACGGAAAAAGGATAACATACCTATTTTCAAGTTTTGCAAGAGTGTTTGATGCTAGGTAAAGTGTTACTCCGAATCATGGGTGGCTCGACTATAAGGGGTAAAGCAATCGCATTAGCCCCAACTTTTTTGGGTCTCATTTTTTTCCTTCAAAATGGAGCAAAATTCATTTATAGCCGTCGGAGTCAAAATTTTATATACATTTTATAGCTCAAAAATAATTATAGTGGTTAGCACAAAAGTAATTATACATCTGACCCATAGGCATATGCATAGCTGTTTCCCCATCTTTAGTCTCCTTAAGAGTGTCTTGACACCACCGCCACTCCCCCACTACTTCGGCAAGCGGATGTTGCCGCTGTTCAGCCAAAGACTTGGAATTAGAGTTTGACCTCTCTTCCTCCATCTTTGATTTTATCTTGAGCCGCTGCTCCGACGATTCTCCGGCAATTCCTTTTGACTTTTGACCTCAAAGTTTCACAACCATACCGCAGAAGAACTCAATCTTTCTCAAAATCTTTATTCTTTTGGTATGATGCATAAGCTAACACTTAAAAGTACAAAAAGTAGTTGAAATTCAAAGAAGATGAAGTTTTAGGTCAATTCAAAGTACTTAACTATGAGGCTCAGATCTGCAAAGACACATCGCGGAAAAGAGAGGCGACCACGCCATGGCTGCAAAATCACCGATTGCATGCAAAGTAAAAACCTTTGAAAGGCCGACCGTCCGGCAATCCAATATACGGATCGCATAGTTTCTATGCCCGATCCAATTACCTCAAAATCCGGATAAATATCATCACTGCCTCAATTGTTATGCACCAAAAAAAGAACTAAAATCACAGAGACATAGACAGAGAAAGAGAGATCTGGATGTTGTTGTTGATTGATGCTGAAGAAATGACTGTATAATAGTACGTATTTCCAGGAATTTAAGTGATGTTGATTTTGTTTTAAAAGTGAAAAAGGAAAATCATTGGCTAAACAGAGATGGGCAATCACCCGTTGAATAAAAATCCCAAGTTATCTGTTATTGCCTCATTTTTTTTCTGGGCTAACTTTCTTTGCTGGGGAAATCCTTTGATTTTTACTAAATAAATTTTCACATATATGTCATTAGTTGATTTGGATGAGAATCATAGTTTCAGGCCCACTATTAGTATATATTTACATGAGTATTTATGTATTTCTTTCGGTGAAAATAGATTTGAATATTGGTATATTATAAAATATATACAAAATAGACTATCACTATACAAAAATTATACAAAATAGACTGTCACTATACAAAATATATACAAAATAGACTATCACTATACAAAAATTATACAAAATAGACTGTCACTATACAATTTATATGCAATAGACTGTCACTATACAAAATATATACAAAAATAAACTGTCATTATACAAAAAATATACTAAATAGACTATCACTATACAAAATATATACAAAATAGACAGTCACTATACAAAAATATACTAAATAGACTGCCACTATATAATTTGTATACAATAGATTGTCACTATACAAAATATATACTAAATAGACTGTCACTATACAAAATATATACTAAATAGACTGTCACTATACAAACAATATACAAAATAGACTGTCAATATACAACAAATATACAAAATAGATTGTCACTATACAAATAAATATACAAAATAGATATTTTGGACTATTAGATGTAATATGTTTGGGTCGGAGTGCCATTTTGTGTCAATGGGCAAAAACATGGGCAATTAAAATTTTGAGGGACTATAAATGATAGTTTTCTCAAAATGTATTGTATATGTATTATTAAAAAAAATACGTGTGCATTAAAATTTAAAAAGATTTTTTGGAGCGAAATAACAATAACTTTAATATGAGTATCGTTGTAATAATTAGAGAACAAAATATTTTTTAATAAATTATTTCCTTACATGGTAGGGTAGTTATTTTTTTTTGTCTCTATTATATCTTAACAACTAATACGGGACCACGTTATTATTTATATTTACCTTTTTTATTTTTTATTTTACTATTTTTATTCTTAATACTGAAAAGTCTCTCAATCGGCAACTTACAACAACTTACAAGTTGTCTTCTTCAAAGCATTACAACAAACAATCATTATATTGAAGCAATGCAACACTTTTCGGTATCATTATATCAACTTATCTTGCTCTATAATTTCTTATCCTTTGATTTCTGCTACTATCTATTGTTTCTTGTATTTCGATTATATTATTTATTTGTGATAGCTACTACTCCTTTTTAGACCGCTTTATCATGACTTATTCTCTTTCGTTACTTTTATTTTCATACTGCATCGAATTGGTTGTCCTTATCTGATCTTTAAATTTGTCGTTGATATTCTTACTTATGGCCTATCTCTAAAATTTGGTTTTAGGCCTCCAATCTTGTTGAGACGGCCCTACTCCGAATCAAAATATTATCCGAAGAAAAACACCTACCGTTGCTGCTAGGTAAAGTGTTACTCCGAATCAAATCATTATCCGAAGAAAAATACTAGAGATACGGGGTGAACGACAAGAATAGGAAACTTTGGAGTCATTATTGAATTTTTTCACTCCAGTAATAGAATTTTTGGAAAAATAACTCGACGTCAAAATGTTAGAACACTCCTTTTACCATTGCCAGAATTTCCAGCCATAATATTGAAAAAATTAGGTAAGCGTCAAGATTTTGCAATAAATCCAAACGAATCACTAAGAGTTTTTAGTATTGTGACTGAAAATTCTGTTGATCGGTAGAATCTGTGGTGCTTCAAATTTTTTGCAATGGTCAGGAGTGTGTTTTAAAATTTTGGTACCGGATTATTTGAAACTTTTTTAACCGGATCTAAATATAAACAATAATTTATAAAAAGGTCCATCAAGCGTAATTTGTTGAAGATTATGTTAAAAATTGCACACATAAATATCTCTTCGTCTAGTTTATTAAAAAAATGACCTTTCTACACTTTTCCTTATACAAGGAATAAGAAACTTTTATAAATGTATTTAAGTTTACAACGTCTAAAATCTTAACGTGTTTAAAGTACAACATCAAAATCTTAAAACAAATAAAACCATCTAAATATTACTATTATCTTCTTTCTTAAACTTTCTTAAACTAAAATCACCTAAACTTTTAGTTTTGAGGTCTTTGGTCGTTAAATTAGGCAAACAAATTACCAAAATTGCCCCTGAACCAACACAAACCATGTTTACATTTTAAACTCTCAACACTGTAACAAGTGGAGTTGAGATGATAATGGATAGTACTACTATCTTCTCCCTCTCCTCCACCGCACACTACTCTCCAACTCCGCCACCCTTCACCACCTCCATTCTCACCGGAAAACACCACCCCACCGCCACTTCCACTTCCATTCTCTCCCTCAAGTCCTCCTCTAACGACTCTTCAGATAAACCCACCACCTCGCACTCCTCCACCAGCCTCCGCCGTCCCACAACCAACAACAACAAATCCCTTAACACCCCTCTTTCTCAGAATCTTGAATTTACTAAAAACCCCTTAAAACTTCTACTTAATTCTCCTCCTGCCACTTCACCGCCCCCACCATCCCTCTCTAACAAACTTTGGTTATCCAATAAACTCTCACCACCCCCACCCCCACCACCTCCGCCGCCGTTAGCACCTAATGAGAGTGATTTGGACTATTCAGATGATGAGGAAATGCAAAAAAGTAGTGAATTTAGAGAAAAAGGTAAAATCTTTATAGGGAATTTACCATTATGGGTTAAAAAGAAGGAACTTGAAGAGTTCTTTAGGCAATTTGGGCCAATAAAGAGTGTGATTTTAATAAAGGGTCATCATGAAACAGAAATGAATAAGGGATTTGGGTTTGTGATATATGGGGGCCTGAGCTCAACTGCTGAAAAGGCGGCAATGAAGGCTGTGGAGTTTGATGGGGTTGAGTTTCATGGAAGGGTTTTGACTGTTAAACTGGATGATGGGAGGAGAATGAAGGCGAAAACCGAGGAAAGGAAGAGGTGGGTGGAAGGGGAAGATGATATGGAGTATAGGTCCAAGTGGCATGAGGAGAGGGAAGGGTCAAGGAGGGATTTGAGGAAAGTTCTAGATACAGAGCCAGAGAATTGGCAGGCCGTGGTGCGTGCTTTCGAGAGAATCAAGAAGGTATCATGCTTACTGAGATGCCCTTAATTTACATTTGCTTACAATGATGTTAGCACCTTGAAGTGTAATTCCAGTAAGGTTATAAGAAAACAATGAAGTAAGATAAAGAATTGGAATTCTAATTATGTGGTATAGGATTAGTTCTAAAAACACTTTTAGTGCTAAATATGTGTGAGAGTCTTTGGCCTATTAGCAAAGCTATAAAATTTTAGATTTTGCGAGTGTGACGGAGGTTGTGAACATGTTTCATAGGTACAATAACAACATACCCAGTATTATCACACATTGTGGAGAGGGGAGGGTAGTGTGTACTCAGACCTTACCCCTACCTTTGTAAAGGTAGAGAGGCTGTATGTTTCATAGGTAGTGCATGTTTTTAACTTGTTTCATTTTCTTGAGCCTTAAAGAGTTTATTGATTGACTCTTTTCTTGTGCCGGAGACTTGGAATTTCGGCAAACAATCATTTTGAAGCTCGTCATGCTAATGATGCTACCATTATTAGGTTACAAAACAAAGGGGTTTATTTTCCCTTTTGATTGAATTTTGGTGACTCCAAAGAATGTCCAATTGTCTTTTCGTTTTGGTCGTTGTGCTGTGGGAACTATTATTGGATCAGTGTTATCCGAAAATATCAAAAAATCTCTAAGGTCCGTTGGGGCTTTAAAAGTGCAAATAAAGCTTGGGCTTTAACGAAGAAAGATGCAAAAGGAGAAAAAAATACAAATATGTGTGTGTAGTCCAAGACTAATAATTATAAGCATGAATAACAAATATATGGACAAACAAATTGAAAAAAATTTGCCATAAAGTGAAATATCAAAATTGTTTAGTTTTGCCTCCAATGGATTACACTCATTATCAAGGAAAAGTATGCCTTAGAGAGCCTTGATGACGACAATGAAGCGCCCGTTTAGCGAGGCGAAGCGCTCAACATGTTTTGTGCCTCGCTTCAGGGCTTAAGCGCGCCTTTGTCAACATTGTTTATCAGTGTCTTGTATGGAGCTGTTTGCCAAAATTTTTTTGGTGAACAAAAGGATGCGGTAATGTGTAGTGGTGTTCAGAACAATGTAAAAAATAAGCATCCAAGGATGTGGCCTAGTGGTCAATGAAGTTGGTGCAAACTTTAAGTATAAGGGTTCAATCTCCAACATAGACATGGTGATATAAAGTTTCTAGGCGATCCACCACCTCCTAAGCACTGCTACATTTGGTTCTAAAGCAAGTCCAAACGCTTGATGCAATGATCATTTTTTTTTGGTTTAATTATGTATGTTAGTTTTCAGTTGCCTCTTGAAAGATTTTCTCAGTTTTTTTTCTTATGCAAGATATACTGCTCCATTGAAACTTACTAATTACTGCTATGTCCTGCATTTTGTGTCCCATTTTCCTCTCCTGGGTTACCAAAAGTGGTGTGCCTTTTCTTAGATGAATTCTTCTTTCATGCTTTTTTGTTCTTTTACAAGATTATTGGCTTTTGCATCTTTTTGCATGAGGTTACGATTTTAGAACAGTATCTGTAGCATTATGTCATGACCTACTCTTTTATTAAACTCTGTGAAAATGAAAGGGAACAAACAATTTGTGACTGATGGAGAACTCACCAATTATACGTTCATTGAGATTTATACAGATTGCTTCTCTCAACCCATATGCTTTACCACATCTTCTTTGTCACCTAACATGCCTTTAAGGTTTGACAGCTCAAGAAATACCTCACTTTTTTTTTACGGGTATTGTTAGTAGGTAATAATTAGTTGAGTGAGTTTGATAATAGAGGCTGCTTTATATGCATATTTATGAGAAAGTTGATGCCGGAACTATCATACTTGATGGATTCCATTAGTCTTAAGACTTAATATTCTGGTAGTACAATTGAGCCACTTTAACAAATTTTCGATTAATTTTTGTGTCAATGTTGTCGCTTGCCCATCAAAATGATACTCCATGCGAGCCATTTTATTCTTGAAACTGTTGAATGTTGTGTAGAGTAATATTATAAGTAGAATGGTGTCCAACATTTTGGACTCCCATAATAGAAAGTGTATTGTATAAACTAGGATACGGGGATTAATATTTTTGAAATTATATTTTTCTCCATCAATGCAAGTTTGTTTTATTCATTTGATCTTTTTATTGCTTATCTACTATCTTCAATGTGGCTATCTACTGACAAAAAAGTCACCTTTATTCTTGCTATATTCTATAATTGTTTGTCTCATAAGCTTCTCCTCTATGAAAGTACTGGATTATACTTGCGTTGACAGATACTTAGCTTATTTATACTTGAAATGGATGAAGTACAGTTATGCTTCTTCAGAGCTTTTGACCATATTTTTTCAGAGAAAGTGATACCTTCTTTTTGTAGCCATCCAGGAAAGAGTTTGGTTTAATGGTGAACTATTATGGAAGGCGTGGTGACATGCATCGTGCACGTGAAACCTTTGAAAAGATGCGTGCTCGAGGTATAGAGCCAACGGTTCATGTATATACCAAGTGAGTTCCCGTGCTAAACTGTTGCTCAGTTTTGATTAGTTTAATTGGGCAAGATGTTAACAGGAAATCACCTCCTCGACAACACTTATGAGCGGATATGTTGAAAGTCAACATAATTTCAGTTTTGACATTTCTTTTCCTGAAGCAAAGGCAGCACTTTTCTTGCTCTTCCTCTTCTTGTCTATTGCCACGGAGTGGGCGAGTGGCCATGATATGTAATCCTGGTGGAATTACAGTCTATTAATAACTGTCTAGCCTTTTTTCTATTTTCAGCTATTTTAGTATATTTGGTTTTAGGTATATCTTTTCTAATGTTGAACAATTTTATTTGGAATATTACCTAGAATAGAAAATCTTACCTTAAAGTATGAGTCCTGCCTAGGGTTGGAGTTTAGTTGTAGTTATAAGTAACAATTATCCTCATTATTATTGAAAAATACTTTATGAGATTTTCTCTTTCCCAAGGTTTAAAGATTTGAACACTAGTTCTCCAATTCCTTTATCAATTTCATAACTTCCTCTTTGTCGTTAATCTTCTTTCTCTTCTTATTTCAAAAAATGAAATTTTCCTTCAACGCAATAGGTTATATTTATTCACTGCTCAACATTAGTTCTTCACTTCCTTTAATTTTGCTATTTCATCTATATTGCAGCCTCATCCATGCCTATGCGGTAGCTAGAGAAATGGAAGAAGCACTATCTTGTGTAAGGAGAATGAAAGATGAAGGAATTGAAATGAGTTTGGTGACTTACAGTATCCTTGTTGATGGATTCGCGAAACAGGGCAATATAGAGTGAGCAATCAACTCACCTCAAGTATTGTTGTTCGCTTAGCATTAGTCTGATAATCTCCTCTTTCAAGGCTTTTGGATATGTTATAGTTTGAATTCGTGTTTCCTTTGAATTAATATGACGTTATGTGTTCATCTTGGTTTAGTAGTTGACCTTGAAAATTTTAAACTAAAAACTAAGATTGTAAGTTAAAACTCAATCTTACGTCAATGAACAGTTTTATTGACTGAACTTTAAGTATGGAATTATTAACTGTGCGTAAACGCATTACCTCTTGAGCCGAGGGTCTACCGGAAACAGCCTCTCTACTAAAGTCTGCGTACACACTACCCTCCCCATACCCCACTTGTGAGATTTTACTGGGTTATTGTTGTTGCGTAAACGCATTACCTAGTATTTTGTTGGAGCATAGGAATGTAGGACGTACTTCTAGGTTTATACCTGACCTGAAATGTCACGATCCCAATTTCCTTCCGTAGGATGTCGTGATGGCACCTAGTCTTGGGGACTAGGTAAGCCTAACATTTACTGAATTAAATGATAGCAATTAACCAACAGAACTATTCAGCAGAGACCAGATAATTCTAAATGAAGCCAACATTTCCAACATGATATAATATCCCAAAACTGGTAGTACAAATTCCTAAATACAACTGTTTCGGAATAGAAATAAACAGTACATGTACAATATTAGAAGGTGACTCCGAGGCATGCGAACGACACGACAGGTTTACCTTGAGTCTCTATGGCAAAACCCGAACAACTAGCTATTGATCAACCAACTCCGAGATACCTGGATCTGCACAAAAATGTGCAGAAAGCGTAGCATGAGTACACCACAACGGTACCCAATAAGTATCAAGACTAACCTCGGTACCCAGTAAGTATCAAGACTAACCTCGGTGGAGTAGTGACGAGGGACAGTCAAGACACCTACTGGACTGATCAACCTGAACAATTATGAAGGTGAACGAACGAGGAAAACAATGTTAATATAAAGCCAAGCATGGTAAGGAAGACAAAACAATACTCGCAATGAAACACTAGAAACAACAATTAGCAACAAGAAGCAAACAAGTAATAATGTTGTAGAGTAAACTGAGTACAGTCCAAGTCCGGTGGAACCAAATAAAGGAAAACAAGTAACAACTCATTAAGACAACTGCTTTTACACCAGATTTATTCAAGAATTTCCACGAGGTACCAAACCTCATAATCACAAATCACGGGTCCCAATTCATGAACTCTAATCACTTGGCATCTTGTGCCCACATTACAATTCATAACCGCACAGACGACTCACGTGCCAAGAGAGTGACAATATCTAATATCGGACGGACCACTCACGTGCCAACAATAACAATGACTCATGACTGCACGGACAACTCACGTGCCAACAGGATAACTCACACAGAAGGCAAGTACACAGGAGTACATGTAAATGGTCAATAACATCAGGATTCATCTTCTTAAACTGATATGGGTGATTTATTTACGTGTATGCTTGTGCGAGTTTCTACCACAATTCAAGTCAACAAGTAAGAGTAGAGACAATGAATGGCACATAAGAAACGATCACCCCAAAATGTACACGGTATAACTCACACAAGGTAGGCACACCACTACACAAATATCAACAATAACAATGCCCCCAGGCCATCACAAATTATTCCCCGATATAGCCCACCCTGTCTTGCCACATGCGCAATAATAAAGTAAATGTCCGCCTTGTTTCGCCGCACACGCACAATAATATTCCCACCTTGTCTCGCCACATGTGCAAACCCACGTATATATAGCCCGCCTTGTCACGCCGCATGTGCAAATATCAATAATAACAACACGGACAACTCACGTGCGAACGCCCTGACAAAATCCTCTCAACAATACCACGTGTGCCAAAACATAACAACATAATAAAGTGATTTTCACAACATGTGCCCATAGGCCACAACATTTCCTCAAAATAATTTCAATACCACAACAACGCATAGCCCTCGGCTCAACAACACTGAGTACAACAACAACAACAACGATAACTCAAGAGTACGACAAGTAAACCAACACAAGAACTTCAGGACACAAAGAAACGGAAGAACGAGCTAATAGAGAAAGACACAACAAGGAATAATGGTGTCTTAACAAGAATAGCTCAACAAGGGAGAGGTAATGTGTAACAATGATTCCACAAAAGTGCAATTCGACGATAAGAGAGATGGCATGAATCAATGACCCCAAATAAGAATATGTCAACAATAAACAGGATAACAAAACTTCAATTAAGGCTAAGCAATTACGGAAGATATAATAATAACTTCAATTAAGGTTAACCAATTTCGGAAGGGATAATAATAACTTCAATTAAGGTTAAGTAATTACGAAAAAGATAATAATAACTTCAATTAAGGTTAAGCAATTACGGGAAAGACAACAAGGCAAATAAAGAATCAACAACTTCCATTAAGGCACATAAGAGTTTAATTGGCAACAAGGGTAGAACATGAATCGATTAATTCCAAATAAGACACGTAAGGGTGAATTTAGTAAATGGAGGATTTAACATGCTAAAACAACTTCACATCTAAAGAACATAAGAACCTAAGAGCCCTAAACGGTCAAATTTCCACAAGTAAGCCCGAGCACATACTCGCCACCTCGCGTACACGGCCTTCACATGACACAATTAGCACAAATGACTCAAATCCTAAGGGGTAGTTCCCCACACAAAGTTAGGCAAGATATTTACCTCAAAGAATCTAGATCGATACTCTAAAATGACTTTCTCGAGTGAAACAACCTCCGGGCGGCTCAAATCTAGCCAAAATAACTTCAAATCATAAATAAAACTCATATGAAACAATTCTGGATAATAAAGCTTCGATCTTTAATTAAAACTAAAAAGTCAACCCAAAAGTCAACCCCGGGCCCGCACTTCTGAACCAGGTAAAATTCACAAAACCCGAACACCCATTCCGATACGAGTTCAACCATACCAAAATTATAAATTTCCGACATCAATTCGTCATTCAAATCATCATTTTATATTTTTGAAAGTTTTTCTCAAAATCCTCATTTTCCCCAACTCAAACCACTAATTAAACAACAACAACAACAACAACAATCCAGTATAATCCCACTAGTGGGGTCTGGGGAAGGTAGTTTGTACGCAGACCTTACCCCTACCCTGGGGTAGAGAGGTTGTTTCCGATAGACCTTCGACTCCCTCCCTCCAAGAATTCCTCACCTTGTTCTTGGGGTGACTCGAACTCACAATCTCTTGGTTGGAAGTGGAGGGTGCTCACCACTAGAGCAACCCACTCTTGTCCAAGCCACTAACTAAATGATAAAAATAAAAATGGAATCATGAAATATAATAAATTTCGGATAAAGAACACTTACCCCAATCGAACATGTGAAGAACCCCTCAAAAATCTCTCAAATTCGAGGTCTCTAGCTCAAAAGATGAAAAATGGACAAAATCTATGATTTTGGAAATTATATTCTGCTGCCCAGGTAACATGAATCGCGATTGCGAAGATTTGTATGCGATCGCGAAGAAGAAAAATAAAAGTTGCCAAGAATGCACTACACGATCTTTGAACCGCCTCAACGTACGCGAACGCGAAGAACAAAGTGGGACTCCCAAGGCCAACTCTACGCGAACGCGGAAGATCAAATGCGAACGCGATGCAGAAGAATTTACACGTTCGCGATTGCGAACCATACATTGCGAACACGAATAAGAAAAATGGGTCACTCACCAAACAGCCTACGCGATCGCGTCTGTATCTTTGCGATCGCGTAGAAGGACATCAGACACCGGAACTTCAGCATTCCAAAACATAAGAAAAGGGCCCGTAGCCCATCTGAAACACACCCGAGGCCCCCGGGACCCCGTCAAAACATGCCAACAAGTTACATAACATAACGCGAACCTGTTCGAGGCCTCAAATCACATCAAACAACGTCGAAACTACGAATCGCACCTCTAATCGAACACATGAATTTTCAAATCTTTCAACTTCAAAAACTCGTGCCGAAACATATCAAATCAACCCGGAATGACGTCAAATTTTGTATGCAAGTCTCAAATGACATAACAGAGCTAATCCAACTCTCGGAATCGCAATCCGAGCCCGATATCAACAAAGTTAACTCCCGGTCAAACCTCTTAAGATTCCAAAACTTCAACTTTCCAATTTTTGCCAAAATGCTTCAAATTATACTATGGACCTCCAAATCCAATTCCGGACAATCGCCTAAGTCCAAAATACCATACGAAGCTATTGGAATCATCAAAACGCCATTTCGGAGTCGTCTACACCAAAGTCAAATTTCGGTGAACTCTTACCGCTTAAACTTCTAAAACAAGAATCCTTCTTCCAAATTGACCTGAATCATCCGAAAACCAAACTCGACCACACGCTCAAGTCATAACACATAATACGAAGCTGCTCGAGACCTTAAGCTGCCGAACGGGACGCTAATTCTCAAAACGACCGGTCGGGTCGTTACATGAAACTTTGCAGTACCGAGTACAATAGGCAATTGATTCCAACTAAATTTTTTTAGACGTGTTGAATTTTCAAGTATGAAGTTGTAGTTAATTTAGTAATACATAAAGTGCCACCTTTTTAAAATTTTCAGTGCTATATAGTTTTCACTAAAATATTGAATAGCATTTCAAATAGCACCTTGTTGTGTAAAATGATTTGAATTTGAAGTGTTAAGATGATTTTGAATTACACTTATCATACATGTCTATTTTCAAATAACTCAATAGCCAATTTCAAGTGCTACATTGGCTAAGCCACACAAGCCCTTAGGTTTTGCCTTTGCTCAATGCCTTACAGCTTACACTGTGGGAAATATAAGAACCCTGTCTCAAACTGTAAGAATGGTTGCTACTTTATTGTGTTGGTAGCTCATGAAATATTTGAATCTGATAGTACAAAATGATATTGTGTTACAATATGATCTTGATTATATTCTGGAATATCATGTCTGAGACTCCGATTTGAGGTCCATATATGGTACCTAAAGATGTCTTCGATGCATAAAATGATAAAAGTAACTTTGGTTTTATATATCCATCTTCGCGCTCAAAGCTAGTTTTGTTCTATCAATTTCTTGGAGAAAATAGTTCTCTCAACTTTTATTTCTGTACTTGGTTAAAATCCTTTTTTCCTAATCTGTCATTTCTCTGTCATGTTTGTGGAAGAGCTGCAGAGCGATGGTTTAAGGAGGCTAAAGAGAGGCATCCAACTTTAAATGCCATTATATATGGAAGCATCATCTATGCTAATTGGTATATTTTCTTTGAATTTTGGCCTTTCTGCTTTTCAATTTTAAGTTGGAGTTCATTATGGTCTTATTTTGTGCGTGCAATTTCAGACTTGCTAACCATTTTGCTAATTCTCACTGTTAGCTGAAATTTTACTTCCTGACCACTACTTTCTTTAGCTTTCATGATTTTTCATGCTCGTTTCTTTGATATCATTATGAGTTAATATTATCTGTTTGGTTTTTGAATGAACTGACAGCCAAACAAGCAATATGGACCGAGCTGAAGAGCTGGTTAGGGAGATGGAAGAAGAGGGTATTGATGCTCCAATTGATATATATCATATCATGATGGATGGTTATACTTCGGCAGGGAATGAGGATAAATGTCTCGTTGTATTTGATAGACTTAAAGTAAGTTTTGTGTAACTGCGCAGATGAATGGAACGTATGGCTTGGTCAAGTTTTATTCCGTCGACTACATAGAATTTAGTGAGAAATTGTCAACGTACTAACAGACTACATGATGTCACTGTTTAAGATGGTTTCTCCCCATATATTATACGACACATCAGCTATTGTAGTTTCTTTATTAAGAAAGAGAAGGGAGAACTGGTTGGAACCTTTCAGTAAGCGAAGGAAACTCTTCATACTGAAGGAGAAAATAGAAGTTTTTTGTTTCTTTTTCTTTTTTCTTGATGAAGTGCCTTTCCGAAGATGCTTTAAAAAGGGAAAAAAAGTGGAAAAGCCTTTCTGGGTAGTGTTTTGAATATGGAATTAAGACTTTTGATTAGAAACCTTGTAATGGTCATGGACAGCTTTTTCTGCTTTTTTTATATATTTTTTTTTGCATTGCTGACTTATCTAATATGGTACTGTAACTTCTTTTTGCAGGAGTGTGGAATTGCTCCTTCAGTTGTCAGTTACGGATGTTTAATGAATCTCTATATCAAGGTGGCTTATTGTCATCATTGTTAGTATATTTGTAACTTTCCTTGTTAGCATCTGATTTGTGTGTATCTTTTGTATGTCATTCTTGGTTCAACACATGTAACAGAGTTCATGTAAATAGTGGCAATGGGCAAAAAGGATAATTTAGTTAAGCTTTGACTTCGACTTCCCACTTAATACATCAGAATCTGCCTTCTCCAAATCAAAGGTTTCAACAAAATGGCCTACTCAGCTTGTGGAATTTCTGAACCAATAAATTCTAGCAGCCATCTGGTTCCCTTAAGGTGCTGCAGACTAGAGTCTCGTGTTCAAGTCAGAGTTCAGTTACTAAATTGGATTGCTTGGTCATATAAGCTGTATTAGCGCCTTCTCCTTTACATTGCAAATCCAAAAGTATCACACTTCGCTTGCACGACTTATATAACAGGTGTTCATATGATATACGGATAATCTCAATTTTGAATTGCTTCCTCTCTGACTTTTACGACTTTTACAACCTTCCTGGGCTTTTAACTCCTCAAGTAAAGAAGGGCAACGTCTAGTGAAGTATTATTGGGTATCAATCCAGCACCCAAAATTGGTATCTTAAATCATTTATTGTTCCATCTTTATCAGAAAAATGGTTTATTATTTCCATGAACTAAACCTATGGTAGTCTTGCAAGATGAAAACTTTAGCACATTTTTAGTTACTAATTACAGTATCTTGACATTGCTGATGAGTTGTTACCAATTTCATCATTCATTTGAAATTTGTAAATTGATTTTAAACCCTTGCAGATGGGCAAAGTCTCCAAAGCTTTTGAGGTCAGTGAAATGATGAAGCTAGCTGGCATAAAGCATAACATGAAGACATATTCCATGTTGATCAACGGCTTTATTTATTTGAAAGATTGGGCAAATGCTTTTGCAATTTTTGAGGATGTAATAAGAGATGGTTTGAAGCCAGATGTGGTGCTTTATAATAACATTATCAGAGCATTTTGTGGCATGGGTAACATGGACCGTGCTTTACGTATTGTTGAGCAAATGAAAAAGGAGAGGCATAGACCTACCTCGCGGACTTTTATGCCGATTATACATGCCTTTGCTAAAGCTGGAGCAATAAGAAAGGCACTTGACGTTTTTGATATGATGAGAAGGAGTGGGTGCATCCCAACTGTTCAGACTTATAATGCATTAATCCTTGGCCTTGTTGAGAAGCGTCAGGTAAATCTAAGTTCCATTGCATGTAGACAAACTTAAAAAGGTGGCGCTTGTTTGTGTGTGACCTGTTACCTGTCCATTTTCTATAAAGGGCAATGGACATGGTACGTGTACTGAAGTTTTCAGTAACTACCTAAAAGACCAATTATGAACCACCAAATGCAAGATAAGTGTCGAAGTGTTGAATTTACATGAAAATACATTAACTTTCTGCTGTTACCCATTCTGGTTGGGTTGACCAAGAAGTATACTTAGAAGGAGTAGAACCAATCAAATGGAAATAAGTTGCTTTATCGCCCTGTTATGCATAGTAAACTAGCAGAGTTAGACTAAGATCTAAATGATCAATTCTAGCAAATGAATTCACATGCCAAATTGCTGATTCTACATGTCACTCTCGTTTGTAAACTTGCTGCATCTACATATTAGAATATCTTTCCACATATTCAAACAGAAAAAACTGATCTATAGCTGGAGTAGACGTGTCAGACTGTGGACATTATTAGCATGAAATATGGATGTTAAGGGTCAGCAACGTTTGTGTTAGGTAATCTTGTAGAACCGGAGTTGAATTTGGCTAACCAAATATGCAGATGTTGGTGTCCTATTAAAACAACGCGCTTGTGAATTGCTGGATGGCTTACAATGTTAAATGTACTTTTAGAAGGATTAATAGGATCACCCTTTATTTCACATACATCCTCTTTGTTCCTCTTTCTTTCCGTGTTTGAAAATTTTCAGGCCTATTGAACTTCTTTCCATAGAACCAGGGGCGGATGTACCTTAGGCCAAGTGGTGTCACATGACACCGCTTGGTCGGAAAATTATACTAAATATGTATATTTAATTAAAAGGAAGAAACAAATATGAGGATAAATAAAATAAAGTGACACCACTTGACACAAACAATTGTGTAGCTCTTTCGGTCAGGCGCCTCAGTCTTCCAGTATAGGTCGTGGGTTCGAAGCTTGGAAGCTTCATTTATTATTTCAAAATTTTTGTGCCTCATTTACAAAACAAGGATTACATTGTGTTGAACAGGGGTCGAACCGTTGACCTCTTAGAAGCTAACAAAACTTTTAGCCATTCGATCAGGAGTCACTTCTGTGAACTCTAGTGACAATAATTTTTTACAGTAATTGAAAAGGATGCTTGCTGCTGCTTCCATGATTAGTTATTGTGCTATTCTTTTTCTTTTTCCTTTCATCTTCTTGCTTGCCAATGAAATTGATTAAGAACGATTTGTCAAATCAAATAAATGATGAACTTTTAGTGATTATTAGGTACTTTATATAGAAAAATAGTATTTATTATTATTTCTAATGAGGTTTCTTTTGAATACCTTTCAAAAAACGAAACTCATCGAAAAGATTTGTAGGAGTTGTGTTCTTTTTTTATATGATGTTATTAGTAGTATTTTGTTTATTTGTTCACTTTTAAAGTGTAACACCACTTACGAAAAATCCTGCATACGCCACTATGTAGAACCCTTTTGATTTGTTTGCTTTATATTTAACTTGATGCAGATGGACAAAGCTGTGGAANACCGGAAGTCATCTTCAGGAATATTTTCCCATAACCTTCAATCTTGGCTGTTGCAGTATTTTCCATGGAAAGCTCTTCTTCGGGACCAGCAGTAGAGTAAGTTGCAAATGCTTC